AAGAGTGGTGCTTCTGTTGAACCTCTGACACCACAGGGCTTAGAGGCTCAGCAGTAAACAGAAAACTTCACTCCTCACTGGTCGCTATATTGCTAGAAAATATACTGTAAAATTATAGAAATGTCCCACTGTCAGTAAGATTTGTCTGTTTTGTTGAGGGAGCCAAGTGACTAAAAGAGACTGAAAGTTGTACATGTATTTACTTTCAATTTCACCTACCAGCCACATTTTTTTTGTTGTAGCGACATTGGTCTCTTTATCTCCGTCATTCTAAGTGTGAGTTTTTGACTCTGTGTTAATAAAAGACTATTTATTCTCTGTACAACAGGCTCTGATTAAATCTGTGGGAGGAGAAGGCTTGTTTCAAAAACTGGTGGGTTTGTTGCTCATTATCTCAAAGATTCTCCACAGAAATAACACATAAAGAACAACAAACCAGTTCAAGTTCAGTGTGGTGAATAAATTCAAGTTACATTGTGGTATTCAGAGAATCATCCTAAATGCAAAACATAGCTGCAAACTGTTGAATAAAGCTGCCACAGTCTTTTCGTAATTTAAGGGGCAAAAACACCAGCATACATATAGTTTCAGGTCTATTAAGCTCAATCTACAAGTCACAAGTTCAAGCGGAGTGCAAGCTGCTTTACTGCAAGCTGCGAAATGGGAAGAAAACAGATCAGCCAGATGTCTTCACTGCAAAATTTAAAGCCAGGATGTGAGAGGAGATCTAAATGGCTTTAACGCAGTCATAATAGCAAAACAATGGCAGATTTAAAGATCAGCACATCAATAAACGTAATGACACAACTACTGCTAATAAACAAGATTAGTGAGACATTATGGCCGTGCTGACAGTCTGATGGGCCGATAGTCCACACAGTGACAGAGAGGCAAATTTAAATAATGAATTCAACCTCAAAAGTGAGCTTTTACTGGGAACCTCAACCTGCTCGGACAGGTCAAACAGTCTCAGCAGGACTGTGCAAATACAATTATTTTATAAAACAAATAACGTAAAAAGGCTTTTACCCTTTGTTTGTAAAAATTCTGGTTTTCCTAGATAGTGGTAGAAATCTGTTTTTGGTCTCAGATAAGGAAGGCAAAATATAACACTGAATGGCAGAGAAAATCAAACTAAAAAGCTCAAATAGGCCAAAAAAAGCAAAGAAAACCGTGAACAGGAATGTGGGACATGTTTTTCTTCTGCGATTTAGGAAATATGCTCTGATTTCTTTTTTGTGAGGCCAACAAAGACATCCTCTCAACTTCCAGTTGTTTGATGTTTTGTGGATGAGCTCCAGTGATTAAGAACTGTGCCCAGATGAGGCAGAAAGTGTATTTATGTTTTTTTTTAAAGAGATAAAGTTTTATATTTGCAAGTGTGCAGACTGGAGAACTCTGAGTGATTAAAGAGAGACATGAATCCTATTTTTTAATGGCATCAGCCATGTCCTTGTAGAGCACAGTCTTTTCCTGAACTCTACCATAATCTCTGAATTTTCCCTCTCCTACTAATAGAATTGGAAAACCATTACTGAGGCATCATCTCGAGCTTCATAGTCACACAAGTTACAAAATAAAACTCAGGATTTGTCTGATAAAAATACAGTCGGATATTTAAAATGCAGTTGGACTGAGAAATTAAGTGAATTTTCTGTTCAGAGGTGGAAGTGACTGAATAAACATTTTGGTTAATAGGCTAAGACTGGAGGCTTGCAGTTGTTTGTTCAATTAGCACCATCAAACCGATCAAATTAAAACGGGACAAAAATAAAAAATGGCTCATTATTCTAATTGTCCATTTCTGTGTTCTGTGCTTGTGGTTGAAATGTACCATTGGCAGCCGGGGGTCTACAGCCAAAATGGACCCAGCAAGACATCTGACTGTGCAATAATTTATTGGCTACACTATTTGTGGAGGCTTTGGCCACGTACGTGAACATTAGTCATAGACTGAGTCATGTTCCCTGCTCATGGTCCTGAGGGTGTCTGTGTGCAAGTAATGATACACACCATTAACTCTAACCTATAGGCAAAAAACTGAATGAATGGCTCGATGAATGAATGAATAAATAAATAAAGGGACGTAACATCGTCACAATTATGTCATTGACAACATGTTGTGTGTGGTATTTTATTAATGCCTAACAATAAGAGTAGCCAGTAAATTATTACATTGTAAGATGTGCTGTACTACAAATAATCTGGATCACACGACTGGGTCTACGTGTCTGCAGACTTTATTTCTATTCTGGCTGAAGACTCCCTCAAGCACTAATGGTACAGTCCAACCACAACAGCTAAATAAACAGAAATCAAAAAGTTTAATAATTTGCCTTAAAAAAAACCCCCAAAGTTTTATGGTTCAAAAATTGTGTTGTTAAGCAACAAGATGAACGATTAAAAATTACAAAGACAATGATCCATTATTTAAATAATTTATGTATATATATATATTTTAAATGATAAGCCCACTTTTCATTTGAATTTACTTAAAACTCAAATTGAAAAAAAAAACTGCAAAGTGTTTAACAGACCAAACTGAATAACATATGTACTGCCTTAGGATTCCTAATGGAAAATATACTGATTTACAGTGTAGTTACTTATTAACAGTAGATGTAGTAGTGAGATAATAGTGAGATAAATGCTGCATGTGTATTCATGTAGATTTTGCTCAAAACTAATAAGAGTCCTTTTTCTGTTATACTTGAGGATTGTTAATTTTGTAAGGAGCTCTGCCACCAAACTGTATTTCATTACAGCACCATGTTTGCTTTTACCATTTTAACATACAGTCTTTTATGACATAACAATCACTTATAGTGCTGATATTCTCAAGACTAAGTGAGAAATCTGTGTGTCAAGTGAAATATTTCTTTTAAATAAAATCAAGCTTTGTTCAAGGTGGATTG